TTTTGGGAAAAAAATTTTAGTTTGGCTGGGCCGGGGGGGGGGGGGGGGACGAAAAGTTGTGCGGTTTCGTAAGGTTAAGGTTGTAAGGTGGTAGGCTGAGCCGCACCCACCACGCGAGTTTACGGCCCGTCCTTCCCCATTTCTGAATCCTTGGGGGAGGAGAAGGGGGGTTGCGTGGTGGAAAAGTTCCAAACAAGCGAATACAAACTCGAAAAAAGATGAGCATCTCTTGTTTAGATTCAGCGGGAGACGCTGGCCTTCCATCACGCGAGGGAGGCCTACCAGCAAGATTCGGCCTAAGGTACAACAACCTCGCCCCTCCTTTAGCTCGCGCTTTGCCTATAATGGTAGGGGCTCCGTCCCCTCGAAGGAGCACCGCCCGACCGCCCTCCGCCGACCCCCGCCACAAACAACTCCGAACAACGAGGAATAACCTTATCCCTCTTACTCTGCCGTCTCATGCAAACAAGTGGAAACATGTAGACCCGACATCGTCGGGGTCGATGGAAAAAACAAAACAAAAAAACACAAGAGACACGTCATGTGGTTTTTTCACGTATTTTGCTTTCTCACCCTCCATTCCCAATGTCTATCCTCGCGAAGACGACCTTGTGCTCGGCCTCTCGGATGTCGTACTGCCGCGAGTAGGCTTCCGCCACCTTGACGTACGGTTCTTCCACCGTCCTGTTTCGTTGCCACGTGTCGTTCGTCAATCGCTCCGTTTTGAGAAACTATCTCGAATGGGTAGTTTCTCTTTGAGTGTGTGTGATTTTCCTAAGAAACCAAACTAAAGGAATCGGCGCAAGAGGGGGGCTTCTTCTCCTACCCAAAAGCAACGGATTGTTCGCCCCGCAAGAAGCAGTCAGTAGAGTTCCACCATCACAATCGCGCATCGCATCGTTTCAATTGAGGACGGACTAAAGCTTCACACACAAGCGCGCGGTCCCACACAGGGTCCCAGATCATGGTAACCTTTAGAAGAATTTTGTGTTTTCAACCGCACTGAAGCATTTTGTCTTTTCATTGGTCAGCTGGGTAGCGCGGTCGATGCAAACAACACAAACAGACGCGCGCGCAGACCTATACGAAGGGGCGTGAGCTCCTTCACAGGTCAGGACACGGATGCTATGTACCACGGTATTCGGGCGGAAATACATAGAGCAAGCGACAGCGCCCTCTTCGCCACTCCGCTCTGTTGTCGTTCGTGCCTGCCCCATGCCGAGCACACCGTCCGTGTTGCCGCCCCCCCCCCCCCCCCCCCAAACCCAAAAAACTTTCCGAAAAAAAATGCTTTTTTTTCCCAACAAAACCCCCCGGGGTAAAAAGGGGAAAAGGTACCTTAACCGCCCCCGGGGACCTTTTTCTGGGAACCCCAAACGGGGAAAAAGACGAACACCCTTTAACGGCCCCAATTTGCCCCCGTGGAAACGGGGAAATTTCCGTCCGCCTACGTCACCCCAGGGCCCCCGGTGGGCCGGGGGGCCCCCCCCTTCTCCCTCCCGCTTTTTCCTCCCTGGTTTCCT